CCGCCCCCCCGCCATGCACTGCTGGCTGGGTGTGTACCCTACGAAAATGAGGGGCCACCTGTGTCACCTCCCGGCCCCAGGCTGACCCAGAGCTCTGGGAGACTGGAGGGAGGGAGGGGGAAGCAGGGCACAGACCTCCCTCTTCACGTATCCCTCATCCACCTCTTCTTCAGCATCTTCCTGAAGGGTCTCTGGCGAGAGGCCAGTGTAGGAAGGACAGCCACCCTGATGAGTGGGCTCGGGCGGGGTGCCAGCCCAGGCCCATGCTGCGCACAGCCTCGCTTCCCGCTCTGCAGACGAGGAGCCTGAAGCTCTGGTGGAAACGGCATGCCTCCGACAGCCAGGCCTTTACTCCTAATCCTCTCCTTAGTGGGGTGCAGCCCCTGCAGTGGGACCGGCCGAGCTCCAGTTCCAGCCTTCTCCCTCTCACCTGTGCCCCGACTTCCTGGCCTGCTGTTTCTCAGGGATCCGAGGATGGAATGAAATGTTTTTTAAGTAACGGACCTTATTTTGTTGTTGTTGAGACTGTACACGTGCTTACACTGAACCAACCCTTTCTCTGGACGGCTCTGTGACCCTGACTACATTCTCTAAGGTGTGCCAGGCACCCTCTCACCTTACTTTCTCGGACTCAAGGTGCCTGGTTGATCTCTCCTATCGTAGTCATTGCAGCTTCAAGGCCAGCAGTTTGAAACCACCAGCGGCCCTGTGGGAGAAAGAGCAAGCTTTCTACTCCTGGAAAGAGTTACAGTCACAGGAGAAAGGGGGAACCGATCACAATGACAAACAGAACATGTCTCCCCCACCCCACCCCCAAGGGGACACACAACAGAAACGTGGGTGAAGGGAGACAGCAGACAGTGTAAGATATGAAAATAAAAATAACAAATGATCAAAGGCTCACGAGGGTGAGAGGGCGGAGGAGGAGGGGACAAGAGGAGCTGATGCCCAGGGTGCAAGGAGAAAGAACATGTTTTAGAGAGGCTGATGGCAGCATGTGTGCCAGTGTGCTTGCTACAGTGATGCATGCCTTGTTATAAGAGCGGTAAGAGCCTCCAAGAAAATGATTTAGGAAAAAAAGTTACAGACTCAGAAACCCGCAGGGGCAGTTCGACCCCGCCCTATAGGGTTGCTATGAGGGGCATCAACTCGATGGCAGGGAGTTTTTGTTTTTCATTTCATTTTCTAGCTTCTCGGATTATTTGCTCAGCATGCAGCGAGCGCTGTCGCGTTGATCCTGAGTAGACAGTTCTTAGAAGAGCATTGTGCTCAAGGCAGACATTCTCTGCTGGTTTAAACGATGGCTGTTTAATAAACCGTTTTGGGGGGCACATGATTCAAATATACAGTTCAATAGTTCAATCCTCTCAAGAATCATACAAGCATTACCATAAAACTGGTTCTCAACCTTCCTCATGTCTCGACCCTTTCATACAGTTCCTCATGTGGTGGTGACCCCCCCAGCCATAAAATTATTTTCATTGCTACTTCATCACTGTAAGTTTGCTACTGCTATGAATCGGGTGATCCCCTGTGAAAGGGTCGTCTGACCCCAAAGGGGTTATGACCCACAGGTTGAGAATCACTGCCATAATCAATCGTACAGAGAAAATAGCTTGGTTTTAAGAGGACGTTGGGATGGATACTTTTGGTTGAAGATTATTTCAGGGCAATCATTTCCAGGGTTCATCCAGTCTCCACGACTCCCAAACATCTAGATTCTGTGAAAATTTGAAGTTTTGTTCAACATCCCCCCTCTTTTGATCAGGATTCTTCTGTAGAATCATCAACCGCCATGTTCAGGAGAGGTAGCCGGGACTCCCCTGGCAGTTTTGGCCACATGGCAGAAGAGGCCGTTGTCCTGAAGGCAATGAAGCACACACCCTTGAGGGCTTTATGGTTTCATGAGATGGGTTCCATTCTTCCCTCCCCTAGTCTACTGAGGTTCAGAGAGGGGTAGGGACAGGCCTGAGGCGACACAGCAAATCCTGATTCTTTCTGTCCACACCCTTCACCCCCACCTGACTCTTCGGCTGCTGATTTTTGGAAGCAATCGTCCCACGATGTAATGTGGCCCAGAGGTTCGGAGCCACACGTGGGACTCAGCCTGTGTGGTTTGACTGCCAACTCTACCCACTCCATGCCTCAGTTTCCACATCTGTGAGACGGGGTTGGTAGCAGTACCAGCTTTCATGAACATTAAATACCTGATGGGCGAAGAGCTCTCACCGGGCTTTCTTAGTGCTAGTGTCCAGTACTTTTCTGAGCACCTGCTCTGGGTCGGAGGGAGAACTGCGGTCTTCCACGTGGGAGGCCTGGGTTGATTCCGGCCAGCGCGCCTCATGGTCAACCCCCCTCCCCCTCTCAGGGGGGTCTGCCTGCTGCACAGGTGTCGGGGGGACTTCTGGGAAGACGAAGCAGTCAGTGGAACCCCTGCGTATCACACAGTCTGATCTGCAATGGACCACAGGGCTGGTGCAGGACTGGGGTGCACAGGGTCATTGCGAGTTGGAGCTACCACCACCACCACCCCTACGTGCCCCACTCCCTCCCACCTAGCAAGTCCAGCTTGGCCCGGCTCTACAGCGTGGGGTCTTTTTGCCACACTCCTCTGTCTGACGGATGTGACAGAGGATGCTCAAGATGTCAGGGGATGAAGTCCACCCTCCTCCCAGGGCAGGAAGCGGGAGCTTGGCTCAGGGAGCTACACACACTCTCTGCTCCCAAATGAGGTCCTCCGGGACCACTCCAGCTCCATTGTGTCCTGAAAAAGGGTCACCTTCACCCAGCCCGCTTTCCGCAAGAACTCCAAAGCCTCCCTACAGCCCCAGGTGCTTCCCTGGCCCGGCTCAGTCAGTGATAGGACCTTCACCATGTAAATGCTGATGCAAATCCCCAGGCGTCAGAGCCACCAGCTCCCTGGTGAGGCCTGGCACCTCCTTGCACCCCCACTTTGCAGCCATGATGCCCCAGGCCCAGGCAGTCTGCTCCCTGTTCCTTCTGCTGCAGACCCTGGCTGAGCCCACTCTAAACCCCGACTTCCACCTGGCTGGGGACTACCTGCTGGGTGGCCTCTTCTCTCTCCATGCCAACATGAAGGGCATCGTCCACCTCAACTACCTGCAGGTGCCCAAGTGCAAGGAGTGAGTGTCCAATGTGAGGCTGGCCATGGTGGTGGTGGTGGGGGGGGCAGGGAGGGCAGCCCTTTGGAGGCCAGGCTAGGGCCAAGGGCTCAGCAAACCCTTCCTGGGACCCAGTGTAGGGGTCCTCACAGTCATTAGAATCTATGTTGATCATCCCAATGCCACCATTCCTTCCTAAAGAGGTTGCGGGACATTTGAATCTAGCAGGTCTCAGAGACCCCCAGAGTCATGCTCCCTCTTTAGCCAACAGGGGCTCCCAGCGAGTCGGCCACGGTCCAGTCTAGAAACCAAGTCTGAGGGCTTTGGGGGGCAGCCGGTGGTTTCCTATAGCTGATTCCTTTTTTCCACTCTGCTCTGGTTCCATTTGGAGGGGAAGGTTTGCATCTTTTTTGAAGGCTGTGGTGTTCTACAGGAGCCCTTGTGGTGTAGTGGTGATGTGTCGGGCTAACTGCAAGGCCGGTAGTTCGAAATCTCCAGTTGCTGTATGGGAGAAAGCTAAAACTTTCTACTCCCATAAAGAATTAGTCTCAGAAATGAACAAGGGTAGTACGACCCTGTCTTATAGGGGTGCCGTGAGTCAGAATTGACCTGCTGGCAGGGGTTTGGTTTGGTCTGTGGGAGGGGGTGTCAGTGGGTGGGGGTGACTCTAGAATTGAGGAGGCTTTTCTCTGGCCTTCATGAGAGTTTAGGGTGGCAGCAGAAGGCTGGGGGAGTGGAGCCATATTCGTGTAAGCATGGAGGCCAGGCTTGAGCTTGTAAAACCGTGACCTCATATAAAAGGAACAAGGACCCCTGGTGCCGCTGTAGGCTAGGCATTGGGCTGTGAACTGCAAGGCAAATCGTTAAAATCCACCAGCTGCTTCGTACGAGAGAGAGGAGGCTGTCTGCTCCTGTAAAGATTCAGTCTCAGAAACCCTACAGGGCAGTTCTACTCGGTCCTGAAGGGTCACTGTGAGCCACAATCTGCCTGATGGCAGCATGCTTGGTTTTGGGTTACAGGAAAGACGAAGGCATTCATGGAGACAGAGAGAAAAGAGCTCACTGCCATTGAGTCGGCTCATAGTGGCCCTATAGGACCCAGTAGAACCGCTACATAGGGTTCTAAAGGCTGTAAACCTCGACAGAAGCTGACTGCTATACATCATCCCATGGAGCAGCTGGTCGGTTCAAACCGCTGACCATTCAGTCAGCAGCTGGGTGCTTAACCATGCACTACCAGGGCTCCAGAGAGAAAAGAAAGGGCTCCGAGGATGGACGACTAGGCGTTGGCTTCCGGTGTGGGGTGCTGGTGCTGGTGCTGGTAGGACACAGGACGTTGGCAGGACTGATCTGAGAAGAAGGGGACAGTGGTGACGGGAGGGATGGTGGCTGTCTAGTACTGTTGTAAGAGAAGCTCCACAGGACAGTGGCCTCATCAGGCATTTGTCTCTGATGGTTGAGACCAGAAACCCTGACTCAGGGTGGCAGCTCTTGGGGAATTTACTCTTGCTGTCAGCTCCAGGGGAAGGTCTTTGTCTACTTTCGGTATCTGTGGGCCTGGCGTTCCTTGGAGATTTTCATGTGTTTTGGCATTAATCTTCCCATGGGTCTAGGAGGTTCTCAGCACAAGGACTCCAGGTCCAAAGGATGCCCTCTGCTCTTGGGTCTTGTGGGTAGTCAGGTCCCTCTGATCTCTTGAAAGGCGGGGTGGTAGGGTATGCACTGAGCTGCATAACCCCCATCCTGGTGGTTCCCAGCCATCAGCACTCTGTGGGGAAAAGATGAGGCTGTCTGCTCTGCCTCAGAATCCCACAGGGGCAGTCTACTCTGTCCTATGGGGTCACTGAGCCAGAGTTGGCTCAATGGCAGTGGCAGTGAGTTTGGTTTTTTACAACCTAATCTTGTAGATGGTCTGTTGTTTCATTAAAATAAGTGCCTCTAATCCTACCTTGTATTAACATCATAGAGGTTAGGCTTTACAACACATCGGACAATGACATCAACTTACATAATACTAAGGATCAAGGTCCAACCAGGTTGATGTCTATTTTGTGGAGGAGGGGGTCAATATAATCAGTGATGCTGCTGGTAATAAAAGGTAATAGAAAGGCTGAAGAGCATGATGGGGATTGGGGTGTTGGTGGTGTTGGAGTGACAGTGTGATGACAATAATGGTGTAATGGTAGTGGTCATGATGATGGTGCTGGTTGTGTTGGTGGTGATGGTGGTGGTTGTGATAGTGGTGCTGGTGGCGGTAATGGTGCTGGTGCTGGCTGTGATGATGCTGATGGTAGTAATGGTGATTGCAGTGGTTGTGATGGTGATGGTGGCATGACGGTGGTGGTGGCATGATGATAGGGGTGGTGGTTGTGATGGTGGTGGTCATGGTAGTCATGGTGATGGTGGTGGTGGTGGTAGTAATGATAATGTTGGTGGTAATAATGATGGTAGTGGTCATAGTGATGGTG